TCATAATCTTCCCGGTTTTTTTTTTTTTTTTTTTTTTTGCTAGTAGCCCGTTTTGGAAGTGCCCTCGCGGGCCCGTCATGACAGGCGGGAAGAGGTTGCCCATTTGAAACTTCGAAAGGCCTTTTGATTCGAGGCCCAACTCCCTGGCATGTTTTGAAAACTTTGTCGAAAGCAATTGTGTTGTGTCAAAAGCCTGTGTGGCGAAGACGCGGTTTGTATTTTCCATGTTTTGAAAGGCGGTGTGTGGCGAGCCCCTACGTATATGGTAAACCATGGAAGTCGGCCTGACGAAACAGTCGGCCGCAGCCCCTCGTTTTTTGTCCTTTTCGGCGTTTCTTCCTCCAGTCCACAGGGAAGTTCTCTGTGGCAATTACTGTGACAGATCTATCATATAAAAGAGTGGCGCACTTTGCGAAGCAAATTAAGAAAGGATCCGATATATATATATATATATATACTATTGTATCGTCATAGCGAACTGTCCGGTGATACGGCGAACTTACCTCCCAGTATTGCATACTGAAGCGCTGCCAAGTGGAGAGAAATGGCCCAGCAGTTCTTGTATGGTTAAGGACGACAAACAAACAAACATGTAGGTTGACACCAAGACTACAGGGAGGCAATGAGCACTCGTCTCCTTAGTAAGGCTGGAAGCCGGGTCCCTTACAACACATACGCACTTCAACGCTTCCCTACGTTATGATCAGGTGACCCCGAGATAATTAGCAATTTAGCAGCATTGATTACGTCCATTGCCGGAAGGATGTACTACCCCAGTTCCTGCATCTGCTGTGTCCTTTTCTGTCCATAGCATAGCAGGCCTCATATCCTAATCGGGAAACAATTCACTCACCTCAGCAGCCCCGGCCCGGTACCGAAGTACCGTGTCCCATTTTCTTTTGTATCATAGGGCCGCGCTTAGAAAACTTTCCGGTAGGTACTGTAGCCCACAAAATAGAGATTCGGTAGGATAAGTCCTAGGAAATGGGACACAGTACTTCGGCATGAAATGGGACAGTACTGTAGCCGACAAAATAGAGATTCGGTAGGGGAAGGCCCAGGAACAGTCGGAGCTCGTAGCAGTCAGTAGACATAGGCAGTTGTCACGTGTCCAGTCACGGTCAAGTCGCAGCTCGGTCCCTGGAAAGGCCTAGTAGGGGACGGTACAAATCTTTGTCGGCCGTAGCAGGGCCTGGCAGAAGAAGCCACGAGCCACGTGAGGAGGCACCCAGCACAAGCACATAAGGGAGGGCCAAGCCAGGTACCTCCTCTTCTTCGACTCTGCCTTATGCAGAAGCGGCGCTGCGTTATTGCGCACCAAGATCCTGCATGGGTGAAAGGTGACTGACGAGGAAGTACTCGGCGGTGCAGGGCACGATAGCTGTAGGATAGCGCAGTAGGTGAGAGGGAAAGCAGTGAGGACATTCATAGAGAGGCCCCGAGAACTGTGTGTGGGTAGAGCGAGCGAACGAGCGAGAGAGAGAGAGAGAGAGAGAGAGAGAGAGAGAGAGAGAGAGAGAGAGAGAGAGAGAGAGAGAGAGAGAGAGAGCTGCCTGCTTGTCATTGTTGCTGGCCGCCTTAGATGCAGGCCTTGAGAAAACCTGTGTATTTCATTTCTCAAGTTGTACTTAAGTTGTGTGCGTCCTCGGATCGTGAGGATCTTGCTGGTGTGACTTATCGCTTGAGTGCTGTGCACACATGAAGTTTGAAGTAATAAGGCCGAGAAACCAACATCCTTTTTTTCTGTAAAGGCGGAACCTTTTCGATTATGCTGATCCAAGACTACCAGGACTTTGGCCTCCTGTCATGCTTTGGAGTTGCTCCTCTTCCTGCAGGGTATCTAGGCCCACGACACCTGCTCTATATCTTTGGCCTCCTGTCATGCTTTGGAGTTGCCCCTCTTCCATCCGAAGGTTGTATATGCTCTGTGTCTACCGTCTTCCCCCGAACACAACGCACCCTTATTTTGGCTGTATCTGGCCGGAAATATAGCTTGTATACATTCATTTTTAGGGTGCGTTATGTTCGGGGAAAGACGGTAGTTTGCCTATCTTGCCCATGGCTACAACAGTAAAACTGCTTTGTCGAAATTGTCTCTGAGCTCCTGGCCCTCATCAGGGTTCTCGTATAGTAAATTCGGCGCCTTCCGTTTTCACCCGAATAGAACGCCCGTTCATTATAGCTGTATTTGGTACAACTTTCAGCCGAGATTTGGCGATAATTACCGGGCGTTCTACTCGGGTGAAGACGGTAGTTCTGATCTAGCCTGTTGTGATGTACTAGCTTTGTTTTTCCGTCTGTGATGTAGCACCTTTGTTTCCAGCGGCTGCTGGAAATCCTCCCGGACTTCGGTGGGTGCAGGCACCTGTTTGCTGTCCAATGTTTATGTACCTCTGTTTTTTTCCTCCTTGCCCATAAGGAGGGTTGGTACCCTTTGGAAAAACTTGCACTCTTGCACTCGTATCGTTCCCAGTTCTTCAGCATGAGAGACCTTGTGAGCAGCTCGAGCTTGTCTTTTTTGTGGGGGGGTGCCTATATTAGCAAGCACCTCCCATAGCCTAAAGCCTAAAGGCCCTTTCCCAAATTTGCTCACCTTCTTGGCATGATCGGAAGCAGTTGTGGACTACTTCCACTTCCACCTTCTCGTAGCGGTGATTGCTTTTACCGACACCGACTAGCGATTACAAGAGATGTATTGGAAAAAAAAAAAAAGATTGCATGCAACTTGTTGAGCCGACTTCTTCGGAGTTCTCACCCCCT